TATTAATTGTGAACACATTGAATTTTAGCTTGGAGTAAAAATGGACAGGCTACATGAATATTTTCTATGAAATAATCAAATTATTTGTAACTAAAGACAAGGGTGTGGCTTACGGGCAAGGTTAGCGTGGAAATAGCATACTGTATAGTGAACGGTGCAGGATACTAGTGAATTGTGCAACATACTGTACGGTTAAGTGTTGTTATGTTGTCTAGCACTCAGGATGGATGGATGGAAACTCTTAAGTCAGTGGTTCTTAACCTTTTTTGAGTCACGGACCCCTTTGGGAATCTGGTGAAAGCTATGGACCCCCCTCCCTAGAAAAATGCACATAAGCACAAAAACACAACTTTGCATGCAATGAATATACTCTATTTTATTGAAAATTCATTGCCTCATACAGTGTATGACATACACAAAGTATGAATAAAGTAAACAATCTTAACAAAGAAATATGCTTCACACTTTTTTATGCAAAAATTAATGACCACTCCATACAAAAATGAAATACAATCATCTTGTGCAAATTAAACAAAACAAAACTTTAATTCCGCTCAAAAGTTCATTTCAATGAGAAGGTTGTTGTTTGGCTTGAAGATAAATGTTAAATTTTTATCTGACCTTCACGGACCCCCTGAAGCCCATCCATGGACCCCAGGTTAAGAACCCTTGCCCTAAGTGGTGGCTTTCTTATATAAAATATATTATATACAAGACAGTCTGGTGCTGGAGATGCCGTGTGGTGAGGAGCTGCTCAGTAGACACGTTCGGTGAGTAGCGTGTTGAAGGAGGTAGATGTGCAGGAGCTTCGTTAGAGAAGATGTTGCCTGTTGCTGGCCTCCAGGTTGAATGAGAGCGGGACAGCGAGGAGCTTGCTTGGAGGAGGTGTTGCGTGTTCAGAAACCGAGAGCAGAATGAATCTCAATGGAGAGACAGAGCTTATATACACAGCCGCCGGAAGTAAACCGTGGGAAATCGCCGGTTTCTCGACCCGTTGCTAGGACACGGTAGCAGCTGGTGGCTGGTTGCTAGGATACTGTGGCATCTGGTGACGTCCCCCCCTGGGCCGCTCGTTTGGTTGCTAGGGAAGACGTAGCAGGTGGCTGGTTGCTAGGATACTGTGGCATTGGAATGTGGCTACGCAGTTGTAGGGGAGACGTCCACTACAGTACTGTACTGTATGTTGTGTTGTCAATAGTAAGTGAAACAAGTGAGATGAGGCAGAAAGTCAGATCAGCAACCTGGGACTTGGTCACAATTTTCGTGATGCCATATGGCAGCAGTGTCTACCATTAGACAACACATTATGCTTCCAATATCTTCCCAGGCGGTAGTACCTCCCTGTTTGGTAGCCGCTTACTACCTACAGTACTACCATAAAAAAACAAAGAAATTATGTGAAGACTTCATTTAAAAGCTTATTTCATCTTTGACGGACCTTTTAGGGTGAATATTTTAAATGTTCTAACATCCTTTCTGAAGTGCTAATGCCTTTTGAATTTTGATATTCCAGATATTTAACATTATTTTAGAGAATAATGGATCTGATTATTAATTGTGAACACATTGAATTTTAGTTTGAGTAAATGGACAGCTACATGAACATTTTCTATGAAACAATCAACTATTTGTAACTAAAGACAAGGGTGTGGCTTACGGGCAAGGTTAGCGTGGAAATAGCATACTGTATAGTGAACGGTGCAGGATACTAGTGAATTGTGCAACATACTGTACGGTTAAGTGTTGTTATGTTGTCTAGCACTCAGGATGGATGGATGGAAACTCTTAAGTCAGTGGTTCTTAACCTTTTTTGAGTCACGGACCCCTTTGGGAATCTGGTGAAAGCTATGGACCCCCCTCCCTAGAAAAATGCACATAAGCACAAAAACACAACTTTGCATGCAATGAATATACTCTATTTTATTGAAAATTCATTGCCTCATACAGTGTATGACATACACAAAGTATGAATAAAGTAAACAATCTTAACAAAGAAATATGCTTCACACTTTTTTATGCAAAAATTAATGACCACTCCATACAAAAATGAAATACAATCATCTTGTGCAAATTAAACAAAACAAAACTTTAATTCCGCTCAAAAGTTCATTTCAATGAGAAGGTTGTTGTTTGGCTTGAAGATAAATGTTAAATTTTTATCTGACCTTCACGGACCCCCTGAAGCCCATCCATGGACCCCAGGTTAAGAACCCTTGCCCTAAGTGGTGGCTTTCTTATATAAAATATATTATATACAAGACAGTCTGGTGCTGGAGATGCCGTGTGGTGAGGAGCTGCTCAGAAGACACGTTCGGTGAGTAGCATGTTTTAGGAGGTAGATGTGCAGGAGCTTCGTTAGAGGGGATGTTGCATGTTGCTGGCCTCCAGGTTGAATGAGAGCTGGACAGCAAGGAGCTTGCTTGGAGGAGGTGTCGCGTGTTCAGGAACTTAGAGAAGAATGAATCTCAATGGAGAGATTGCGAGCTTATATACACAGCAGCCGGAAGTAACCCTGTGGGAACTCGCCGGTTTCTTGACTCCGTTGCTAGGGAAGACGTAGCAGCTGGTGACCCCCCCCCCTCTGAGCAGTTGGCTGGTTGCTAGGATACTGTCGCAATGGAATGCGGATGTAGTTGTAGGGGAGAGATCCACTACAATACTCCCCCTCCCCTCCAGGCGCTGCAGGAGACTTGTTGTCAGCAGGGTTGTATCTCACATGTGAGACATAACAGGCAGGGGTGTGGATCAGTCGGCCGCTGCGGAGACGACTCTGTCTGGAGGCACGAGATCTGTGGGAGAAGCAGAGGGAGAAGGAGGGTTGTGGATAGGAGAAGGTTGTACTGGCGAGGGATGTGGTGCTTCTATCGCCGCAGGTGGAGGGGGGCCAGGTGGGGTATCTGGGTCATTAGGGCCGGCTGCGGGGTTGTCAGGAGCAGTAGGTACCTGAGGATGAAAAGAGGGTATGCAGAAATGTTGTGGGCGAGGTGGTGTTCCAAGTGGCAATGGTGGGTAGACTGGTGGAGGAGGTGTTGGATAAATGTGTTCAGGGCGGTGGGAAGGCTGGCGTAGGGCAGTAGCCTTGAATGCAGAAACCGCTTGATGTAGTGTTTGTAGTAGGTCGTGACGGGCAGCAGGAGTGAAGTGGTCAAGATCAGAAGTAAGGCGTGTGATGTGCTGCTTGATAGTGGCGGAGGTTATGGCGCCTACCAGTCTCCGTCGCTGTTGCTTCGCCGTGTAGTTGCAGGGAGCCTCACAATGTCTAGCTTTAGTGCCAAAACGTTGATGGTACCAACAGAAGGTAGGTACATTGTGCTGGGGTCTGGGGCAGGACAGGGGTGTTGGGGTTGATAGGACACAGTGCGTGGGGCAGGAACAGGAGAAGCAGGCATGGAGGAGCAGAGCTGTCAATGGTGTCCATCCTGCGGTTCAAAGTTTGCAACAGGTCCCTAATGTCTTGCTTGTCTGGTGGAATGCTACTTCTCTGAGGAGCGTTGATCAGGTAGACGAAACCGGGGCTAAGTGGAGATGTGACCACTGAGTGGTTTGCGGCCGCATGGCACACAGCAGTGTATTCATTGAATATTCTATCTGCCGCGGTTGTGTAAAGTTCAGGTGTCGACGAGTAATCTACTGTGGACAGGGTGATACGTACTTGTGTGGGGAGCTTTTGTGCGTGAAGCTGGCGCAGGATAGGTTCGGGAAGTCTGTCTGCATGCCGGGAGTTCAGCCTACACATCTCCTCCCACAGAAGTCCCGGAGTTGAGTTTCCAAGGGAGATAGAAGATAGGTTCTGCAGGAGACTGGGGCAGGTCCGTCGGTAATGCGTTTTTAAGGCGTCCCGCAGGGTGGCGAATTTGTTGTTCTCTGGAGGGTTGGAAGTAGTCCATGATACATGCGTGGCGACTTCCGTGGGTAAGGAGGAGAGCAGGGCACCGTACTTTTGCTCGTCAGTAGCTTGTGAGCTGATGAGGATTGCTTCCACATGATCTAACCAGTCCTCGACGTTGTGGTTGAAAGTCGGTAGAGAGATCCGTCCGTCCTCCATCCTGTGTGAGTGCGTTTTTCCGGGGGTCACCATTTGTAGGGTTACGTGTTATTATGTTGTCTATCACTCAGGATGGATGGATGGAAACTCTAAGTGGTGGTTTTCTCATAAAAAATATATTATATACAAGACAGTCTGGTGCTGGAGATGCCGTGTGGTGAGTAGCTGCTCAGAAGACACGTTCGGTGAGTAGCGTGTTTCAGGAGGTAGAGGTGCAGGAGCTTCGTTAGACGGGATGTTGCATGTTGCCGGCCTCCAGGTTGAATGAGAGCTGGACAGCGAGGAGCTTGCTTGGAGGAGGTGTTGCGCGTTCAGGAACTTAGAGAAGAATGAATTTCAATGGAGAGACTGCGAGCTTATATACACAGCAGCCGGAAGTAAACCCGTGGGAACTAGCCGGTTTCTTGAATCCGTTGCTAGGGTAGACGTAGCAGATGGTGACCCCACCCCCCTCTGAGCAGTTGGCTGGTTGCTAGGATACTGTCACATTGGAATGCGGATGTAGTTGTAGGGGAGAGATCCACTACAATACTAGTGAACGGTTCAACATACTAGTGAATGGTGTATGATACTAGAGAATAGTGCAACATACTAGTGAACGGTGCATGATACTAGTAAACAGTGCAGGATATTAGTGATCGATGCTGGATACTAGTGAACAGTGCAGGATACTAGTGGACAGTGCAGGATACTTGTGAACGGTACAGGATACTTGTGAATGGTGCAGGTTACTAGTGGCACTAATTCTGCATGATTCATACAGGCCACTAGTGGAGATTACAGAGCCTAGTTAAGCATTGTATGTCCTTGAAAACAGGCATGTTCTTAGGTACAGCTTGTATCATCTCCCACACAAATTGTGTGCGAGATGACACATGCTGTGTGGATGCCTCACTCATCTCATTTGAAGCAATTTATCTACATTTTTACTACCCTCTTTCTGTCTTCCTTTCAGGTGAATATTGAACCAGTTTTCTGGTAAAAACTGGTTCGAAAAGTTTCTTGGGGAATCAAAAGAAGCGAATCAGCTAAAGCAAAAACAACGACTAAATAAGTGATTTCCTGATATCACATCACTGAAACCACAAGAGATGAAAAGTAAGATGCCTTAACTATTTCCTCATTATATATACATACTGTATATATATATATATATATATATATATATATATATATATATATATATATATATATATATATATATATATATATATATATATATATATATATATATATATATATATATATATTAACTCTCCTCCTTTAGTCGACAATCTTTCTTCCCTTTCTCTTTTTTTAGGTATTTTAACGGGCTATGTTTGGTTGATTTGACATCCTGTGTACCGCCGGCAAGACTGTGGGATCGTAACACACGTCTTGCCCGTGGTGCCCACTGTTTCTCTGTGGATGTCGGTCACAGTACCTCACACTAGAATAACTGTGGAATGCTTGTAGCGTTTACTTGTAGGCTATGTAGGAAATCTCGCACTAAGGATGGAGGTGAGAAGGGAACCTCACAATGGCGTTTTTTATAAAATATATTATATGTACAATGCAGTGCTAGGGAGTTGCCTTGTTCGTTCATGTTAGGAATAATAATCATCCCATTGCTTGGGAAAAAAGCTTAGAAGTATTTAAACCATCTTGTGTCACAGAAAGACTTCTGGTTGAAGCTAGTTTGATTAAGGAATTAAAATCAATAAACCTTAGTGATGGTCAGTTCAAAACTGATAATATGTTACATAAATTTGTTTGTCAGTGGCCCAAGGTTAAAAATGCTTTGAAAACCTTTGATCTAGATGTATGATAGTTATTTAGTGGGTCCCTTATTTTTGACCTGACCTGACTAGTCACGTCACCCCCCTTCTCTTAAGCTCCTCTACGTGTGGTGTTGGTGTGGGGATTAGTGGATGACATCATTATGACCTAACCTCATGTTTTTAAGGTCACCCTGTATATTTAAGCCTCTCTCTGTCCATGTAATCCAGTTGCTTCTGAAGATGTCTTGAATAAAGACGAAAGCTAAGGTGCTCCGTTGTTTCCCTTTTCCCGTGTGATTTTATCAAGATTAATCTTATCCATGTTTTCATTGTGGATCTACATGAAATATATATATATATATATATATATATATATATATATATATATATATATATATATATATATATATATATATATATATATATATATATACACAGTATATATATATATTTACACAGTGGTCCCTCTGTTAAAGAACGGTTCGGTTAACAAAATTTCAGTTAACAAATTACCTTTCATAAGAATCTTCAATTCGGTTAACAAACAAAAATTTGATTAACGAAATCCTTACGAGCATCACGTTTTGTTGTGAGCATCATCTGATCAGCTGATGGGCTAGTCTGCCAATTCAGTAATCTGTTCTGTGTTTACATTTGTTTCCAGTGGAGTAAATATCAATAAAGTTGTGCTCTTCAATATTTTTGCATTTTTTATATTAAAATTATTAATCATTTTAACATTTATTTAACATAATGATAATATATGCAGTACAGGGAACTAGTTTTTTGTGCGCCCATCAGCAGCTCGACTCAGCCGCAAGGTGTCAGTTGGGCTCTGTTGATAGTGGAGTGAGCATCTATTTTGATGGTGTTTTGAATATTTTAGCATTTTACATTAAAATTATTGGTCATTCTCAGATTTAGGTAACATATTGATAATATATAGTGCAGTGCAGTGTTGATTTAAAGAAAATAATCTTGAATTACACCTAGTGAACTCAAAATTTTATTTGTGAAATTACTGCATCAAGCATGGGTCCCCTGAAAGGTGATTTCTCCTCCATCCCCACTTCCTTCTCTTCTCCCTTCTCCTCCACCCCCACTTCTAATTCCCATCATCATCATCAACCAGGAACCTTCTACATACACACCTCAAAGTAAGTGTACTTTACTGCAATTTTTTTTTTACATTGTATGCACTTTTCTGTGAGCTGGAACCAAATACCCAATATCCCATTGAAACAATGGATTCGGTTAACGAAAATTTCGGTTAACGAACAACCTTCTGAAACGAATTGTGTTCGTTAACTGAGGGACCACTGTATATATATATATATATATATATATATATATATATATATATATATATATATATATATATATAATATGTACTCAAGTTTATTTTCACCAGCTCTTACTGTGACAGAGATTACAGTATGTATTACAGTATTAGATTGGTATGTGTATACTCTGGGTAATATTATAATTTATTGGTTTTGTACAAGCACCAAATTGTTAAATCAAGTTACACTGTAGTGAATTATCCCCTACAGTGTGTGTGTGAGAGAGAGAGAGAGAGAGAGAGAGAGAGAGAGAGAGAGAGAGAGAGAGAGAGAGACCCCTACATTTTTATTATGTTAAAGTAAGAGCTTTTTTCCTCTATCAGCTTACTTCTGGTGTTCACTCCTGGTGGTGCAGGCGTTTGTGTTCATGCTGTTGGTTGTGATCTTCTTCTTCAGCCACACACCTTCAACCACCACTCTGCCTCCGATCCACATCCCTCTATGGCAGGTTCAGGAGCTGTTAAGATACCAAGGGCGACCCCTCAAGATTGGCAGCAGTGGCCAGTTAGAGGTTCTCCCAGACCGCCCTGAAGGAGGTACCACGTCCGATGACCCCAAAGTTATTGTTGATGACGAAGCCAGTGATTTTGTCATTAAAGGAGGTGACGTGATCAGTCCTCGTGATGGTGAGGGAGGTGATGTTATCAGTCCTAGTGACAGTAAGGGAGGTGACATGATCAGTCCTCGTGACAGTGGAGGAGGTGATGTGAACACTGGTCATGACGATGGAAATGATGCAAATACTGTTCAAGGTGACGAGGAAGTAAACACCAACATTGATCATGACAACGAGGAAGAACAGGTAATCAGTGTTTATGACAACTTAGGTGGTGACAGGAGTAAGTACAGTACAATGAAATATTGGTGGTGAGATACTGAATATGAAGATTAGAGACGAAATGAGTGGTGATTGAGGTGGTTAGGTGAGTGGTGACTGAAGGTGGCAAGGAAAGTGGTGACAGGTAGTGAGGTGAGTAGTAACTGAGGTGGTAAAAGGGATGACTGAGATGGTGAGGTAAGTGGTGACTGAAGGTGGCAAGGTAAGTTTTTTTTTTTACGGGGATTAGCCCACCCGAGCGCAGGTCACTGACCCACATTAGGGCCTGGGGGGCGATGATGATGATGATGATGATGATAATAATAATAATAATAATAATAATAGTAATAATAAAAATTAATAATAATAATAATAATTAATAATAATAATAATAATTAATAATAATAATAATAATTAATAATAATTAATAATAATAATAATAATAATAATAATAATAATGTAGGGTATCGAAGTATTAATGTCGTCAAGCACTCAGGATGGAAGGAAACTCTAATGTGGTTTTCTTGTATAATATAAAAGTTATATGATAGACAGTCTGGTGCTGGAGGTGCTGTGTGGTGAGGAGCTGGTCAATAGAGACGTTTGGTGAGTAGCTTGGTGAAGGAGGTAGATGTGCAGGAGCTTCGTTAGAGAAGATGTTGCCTGTTGCTGGCCTCCTGATTGAATGAATGCTGGACAGCTAGGAGCTTGCTGGAGGAGATGTTGCTTGTTCAGGAAAATGGGCAGAATGAATCTCAATGGAGAGACAGAGCTTATATACACCCAGCAGCGGCCGCCAGTCCTCTATGAGTCATGTTGGGAAAACCCGAGAAGTAGCCGGTGACTAGTTCCGTTGCTAAGATACGGCGGGCATTGGAATGCGGATACGCTTGGTTGCTAGGGAAGACGGTAGCAGGTGGTGTGCAGCTACGCAGTTTGTAGAGACGTCCACTACAATACTCCCCCTCCCCTCCCGGCGCGGCGGGAGGCTGGATGTTGTCCGGGTTGTGTCCCACACATAACACATACCGGGCAGGTGTATGTACGACTCGACCGCTACGTGTAACAACTCCATCCAGTGACACAAAACCTGTGGGAGAATTAGGAGGAGAAAGAGGGTTTGGGATTAGAGGAGGTTGTACAAGCAATGGTTGTTGTGCTCCTGCTGCTGCAGGGGCTGCATCAGGAGGAGGGTCCATGGCAGGAGCAGGTTCTATGATAGAAGGGAGATCTATTACAGGTTCAGGTTCTATGACAGGAGGAGGGTCTATGACAGGAGCAGGTTCTATGATAGAAGGGAGGTTTATTACAGGTGCAGGTTCTATGACAGGAGCAGGTTGTACATGAGGGTGAAGAGGGTGCCCAGAAATGTCGTGGGCGTGGTGTTGCTGCCGGTGGTAACTGCAGGTGGACTGGTGCAGGCGTAGTTTGATGATGGTGCTGCTGGGCTGGGGGCCCGACGGGTAAGGCGGCCGGTTTGACTCGGTCTATGCTGACGGTGTCATGTCTGCCATTCCGGATAATTGTCAGGAACTTTGCCGAACGGGTAACCACCTGGAAGGGTCCATCGTAGGGGCGTTGTAATGGGTTGCGGTGAGCATCATGCCTGACGAAAACATACTCGGCTGTAAGTAGTGCAGGAGGGATGTGTTCAGGGCGCCGAGTAGGCTGGCGTGGAGCAGTAGCTCTGAATGCAGAAACTGCTTGTCGTAGCTTTTGGAGTAAGTCGTGACGAACGGCTGGAGTGGTTTGGTTGGGATCAGGAGGGAGTGAGAAATCCCTGGGTAGCCGAAGGGGCTCGCCTAGTGTCAGATCTGCTGGGCTACAGTCCATATCCTCCTTGTGTGACGCACGGATGCCGAGGAGCACTAAGGGAAGCGCATCAGTCCAGCTGTAAGGGTCGTGCTGTGCCTTGAGTGCGTCCTTCAGCTGCCGGTGAAAACGTTCTCCCATGCCGTTGGCTTGAGGGTGGTATGCTGTAGTGCGTTGTCTAGACGTGCCGAGGAACTGTAGGAGGTGCTGCCAGAGTTGTGACTCAAACTGTACTCCTCGGTCAGTGATTACGGTTGCAGGGGGGCCAAAACGGGAAACCCAACCAGACATGAAGGCGTGGACAGTAGTCTCTGCTGTAGCGTTGGGCATGGGAATTGCTTCTGTCCACCTTGTGAAACGGTCGATGCAGGTGAAGATGTAGGTGCTACCGTAGGATGATGGTAGAGGTCCCACGATGTCGAGGTGTACTACTTGAAAACGTCCTTTGGGAATAGGAAAGGCTTGTAAGGGGGCCCGTATGTGACGATGTATTTTGGAGGACTGGCAGGCCAGGCACTGGGCAGCCCATTTCTTAGTATCAGACTTGATGCCGGGCCAGACGACACGTTGCGTGAGGAGGCGCTGGGAGGCCCGCACACCCGGGTGGCTGAGACCATGGATGCGGTCGAAAACAGCGCGGCGGTGGACGTGAGGCACGAATGGTCTAGGCTGTCCACAGGATACGTCGCACCACAATTTAATCTTTGTGCCAGGAACAGGGAGTTCTTGGAGTATGAGGCCTGAGGGGGATGTCTTGTATGCTGCCAGGTCTTCGTCTTTCTCTTGAGCCGCGGCTAGCTGCCCATAATCAATGGGTGGAGATGAGGGAAGAATGGTGGATATACAACGAGAGAGGGCGTCGGCGATCTCGTTGTGGCTGCCTTTAATGTGTTGGACGTCGCTGGAGAACTCCGAGATGTAAGCCAAGTGGCGCAGGACACGAGGTGTATGTGATTGGGAAGCTGAAGCGAAGGCGTGGACGAGGGGCTTGTGATCAGTGAAGATGGTGAACTGACGGGCCTCGAGGAAGTACTGGAAATGTCTGACAGCCAAGTATATGGCCAGGAGTTCTCGATCAAAAGCGCTGTACTTGAGGTGTGGTGGTTGAAGCCGTTGTGAGAAGAAAGCAACGGGCATGAAAATTCCGTTGATCTCCTGCTGTAAGACGGTGCCCACTGCAATAGAAGAAGCGTCTGTTGTGAGAGTGGTCCGGGCGTTAGGTGCGGGGTGGGCCAGGAGGGTGAGGCATGTAATGTGCTGTTTGATAGTGGTGAATGCCGTAGTAGCCTCTTGAGTCCACATGAGAGACTTGTGAGACTTCTTTGGGCGTCCCTTGAGAAGGTCGTGTAGGGGGCTAGGACGGTGGCAGCTTTGTCAATGAAGCGGTGGTAGTAGTTGACTAAACCCAGGAATTCTCGGAGTTTCTTCGCCGTTTCAGGTTTGGGGAACTCCCTAATCGCGGTTATCTTCTGTGGTAGGGTTGTATGCCACTGGACGAGACTCTGTGACCGAGGAAATCGATGGCCGAGGTTCCAAAGACGCACTTAGCAGGATGAACTTTCATGTTGTTGTTCTGCAGGCGTTAGAGAAGGAGTTGTAGGTGGTGGCGGTGCTCGGCAGGCGTCGAAGATGCGACGAGGATGTCGTCAATGTAGACGGTGACAAAATCGAGGTCGCGAAGCATATGGTCCATGAACCTCTGGAAAGTCTGTGCTGCATTGCGTAAGCCAAAACTCATGAAAGTGTACTCGAAGAGTCCGAATGGAGTGGTGATGGCTGTCTTCTGGGTATCTGCCGGTGCTACTGGGATCTGGTGGAAAGCACGCTCCAAGTCGATCTTCGAGAAGATAGTCTTGCCATGAAGTTTGTGGTGAAAGTCCTGGACATGCGGAATAGGGTACCTGTCAGGTTTGGTGACGAGATTCAGGGCTCTGTAGTCGCCACACACCCTCCACTCGCCAGGTGTT